CCCCCCCCCCGGTGGAGACATCATCAGATTATTTTTTTTTTTTTTTTTTTTTTTTTTTAAAAAAAAAAAAAAAGGAAAAATTATTAATTGCTATTTTTAGTATTCCTGAAAGGGTTTGCAGGATTTTTTGTTTCTTTGCTTGCTTGCTTGCTTTCTTTCAAAGAATGCCCAGGAAAAATATTTATGGTATTTAGAAGTCACATCAACCAACTGCTTTCATGGATTAAAATTATTTTCATTTAATGAAGGTTTTCTTTTTAATTCAGTATGTCAAACTAAAATTCATTATTCCAAGTTTTGATTATGAGAACTCAGAAGACACAATGAAAATACATTCATGCACTGATTCTTGAAAAACTGGAACAAAGTAAATGAAAGTGACATAAGATATTCTTTTCACTAAAACTGTATCACAAGCTCTTCAGAAGCCACCAACATGAAGTGCAAATCTCTTAAGTAGAACAAGCATTTAATCAATTGAAGACTGATTTAGTTATTCTAAAGAACACTCAAATTAACATCTAGTCTACTTACCAACTGTATGGCTATCATAAGAACGGTTTTAAGAGAAAATGTCCTACCACACAAGTCAAATAAATCTTCCAGACTAGGTCCAAGTAGTTCTAGCACCATAGCATTATATTTGCCACATGGGCCAAAATAGTAAACCTGAGGTATTCCACCTGTAAAATAAAGATACAAAGTAATTATAAGGAGTTAAATAAGATTAAAGAACATACCAATAAAATTCCTACCCAATTTCAAGTGGATCTAAAGTTGAAAAATACATTTTTCACACAAAAGCAATAATAAAACCTCATAAAAACAACAGGTAAAAGACAACAGGAGCAATGAAGGTAGTACCAGTTTCATTAAATATTTTATGAATATTACATGTTTGACTTGTGAAAGACTTAAAGCTTTTTATAAAAAATAAAAATTAGAACCTGTTAAGTTTTTTAACAGTAAATTGAAGTAGGATTTTAAAAAGGTATGAAGAGCAGTTTAAATAAGCCCCTTTTCCAAAAAATAGGCATTCAAATTAAATTTTTTTAAACTAAGGCTATGACAAACCTACATTCAGGAATAAAACCACCTTATTATCTATAGAAACTGTTTAAAAATCCAAAAGAAATTAATGAACCCTCAAGTTCAATGAGACATTTAAGTCACATTTTAGATGCATCACCAAAATAAAAATACCATAGATGACAAATTGTTATAGTCACCACTCGTTAGTATTATCTTTTTTCCAAACATAAGCATTTTCTACTTAAATTTGCACTGGAAGGTTTCTCCTGTCTTCTCTTCCTCCATTATTTTTGGCTTCTGTTTAGATAGCACATAAAAGAAAACATTCTTCTTAAATGTGAGTTAGTCCAATAAAAATCTAAACACCACAGACTGGAAGTTTGTTTTACTTTTAATCTAGATTTCTAATAAAATGTATGGTAGACTGAGCTTTATTAATTCAAACCATATGGACAGGAATTTTTTTAATGTAATTGTAAGAACATACGACAAAGGGAATATTTAGAAGTCTCAAGGGGAACCTATGATAAAGAGTTATCCGGGTTTCACTTCTGAAGGATCATAGTAGACACCACTCAACTTCTTAAAATTCTTTCAAAAGTCAATGTCCAGAGAGAATTCATTACATTCAATTCTTATTGTCAAATCATTTAAAGTGACTTAAGAGAAAGAGATCTTTGAATAAAACACAATTTCACATTTAAAATTTTATATTAACAAACACAATTTTTTATGTTCTAGTTGTGCATTTTTTTCACATAGAAATTTATTAAAATAAAAATTAAGTTCGGAACAAAACATACATAATTTTCAAACACCACATATGGGAACAAAAATATCCTACTGGATGTTCAGGTAACATACTCTTAAATACTATGTGAACAGGCACAAAATGCACCAATCTAGAAGGACAAAAAGCAAATTTAGTGTTAAAGCTACATTTGTTTTCAGATCTTGCATATAGTCTAAACTGTAAACTGTCACTCTGATACTTTATTTCTAAGCCTAGCATTTTTCCTGATGTAAAATAAGTGTCACATGCTCCAACACAAAACACTTGAAGAATATGTTAATCTGCGGTTCATAAAAACTATAAGAAACCTAAGACTGTACTATTGCCTTGAAAATTTAATTTTTGTTGTGTTTTCTATGGCAGCATTCCAGAAACCCTGGCAGGAACATATATTTACTGTACATATTTCCTCAGACAGTGATACCAATGCCATAAATTTTGTGAAAACTAGGGTTAAAAGTCACATGCATTGCACTGAGAAGATTCCCTTAGTATCTAGTCTGTTACAAGAATCACTGAGCAAAGATAATCCTGATGCGCACAGCTTAAGACCAGCAAAAGTTGCATGTTACCGGAGTCAATTACTCTGTTCTTTTTCCTGAACAGAAGTATAATAAGCATGTCCACATAACTAGGCTTCTCCTGGCACAGCAGGAGAATCAGTTAAATACTTTTAACAAATTAGTTAAAGGTAACTAAACCTTTAGTGGAGACATAATCAACTTTCATTTTAAGTTAGCAGTGCACATAAGATCACCCACTTCATTAGAAAGTGCTTCCTGAAAGAATACTTGACAAAATAAACACAGGCATCAAAAAAACTGGAAATGTTCTTTAGTATTCTCAAGCACCACATTTACAATTACGCTAGCAACAATGCCACCTACAGTGAACAGCACATATATTCCAAAAATTAATAGGAAAATATTCTGCACTCCTGGAATTTACAGATTTACATAAACAGCTGTCTTAAGAAGCCAGGAAACCCAGAAGTTTAAAAATATCAGTATTTAAAGCCCTATCATCCAATTTTACTTTTGCCTTTTTGTACATATGCATAGTTTGACTATATAATTAAAAATAACTTGACATGATTGCCTCAATTAATCTTGCACTTCCTCATATGCACTGGACCTCTTATTCAGAAGAATACATCTTGTTCACTTAAGGAAACTAGTTAATACAGACTTTTTTTTGGCTTTTCAATATGTATCCTCTGTGTCTTATTTTTTAAGAGCATTTCACTCATCTCTTTGCTACAAGTGAGAATAATGAAAACATAACCCATAAAAATTCAGTTTTACTCTTCAAATTTTCTGAAGACTAGAGCTTCCATTTATTTTTTAAATATGCATAATCATACTTGTATCTGTACTAATATACTTAACATGCATAATCATACCCATTTCAGAAAGACTTCACAAGAGTAGCTTATTGCTGCTAAAGAAGGAGCACAGACCACACTGTACACTATAGTGGAACACGGTACAAGATAGTGTTTTTAATTGTAAGATCATCCCTAATTATAAGATAATGGATTAGACCACATAAGGGGATATTGTAACTCTAGAAGTCAATTTTTCTGCCTCCACTTTCTGGTACAGTGGAATTACACATGGAAATGTGGATGTATCTGCAGAAGCAAATTAACAGATGCACAGAAACATAAGTAAAAAACAAAAACAAAAAACCCACAAAAAAACCATCCCAAACCACACAAGCGTATAAAGAGGACGAAAAGCACTGGGAATTTGGAAGAAAGAGTACCACTTGTAATGGCCTAAGACCTAGTCAGAGAATCTCTGTTCTTACATTTGCATGTTTAAAGACATCAACTCCAAAATATTGCCAAGAGAAGTTAGTCTCCTCCATTACCACTCTATCTGCTCTGTGTTTCTTTATATCATTTTAAAATATTAAGTGCACTTTAAAAATACAGAAGCCAGAAGAGTTTTGGGCTTTGTCTAGACTTACAGAACTTGTTTGCACAACTACATGCTAGTAAAAGAGGAAACATTTGTAGAAAGGAATTTGTGACATTGTCAGATTTGTAGTCAGAGTTGCCAATTTCAGACGTGTATTTATAGGAGATGTAAAAAAATACCCTGTAACAATTTATTCTACCATATCGTATCATGAAAACACCACAGCAACTCCTGGTAAGTACACAGGCTGGGCAGGAAGTCAGTGTTTCAGCTGTAATCCATTTCATTTTATGCAACATGGCAAGAATAGTACTTATTCTACCTACAACACTTGGTCTTCTGATTATACAAAAACTCCAGAATACCTCGAAGTTGTGTTTAACATGTTAAGGTAGTAACTTCTGCAAGGCAGATATGGAGTATTACATCTAAAATCCCCTGTGTTTATAAAATCATTTCATATTAACAGTTTCAAGTACTAGAAGTTTGCCGTTTGGGGGATTTTTTTTGTTTGTTTTTAAATCAAAATATTTTTACTCCTTTTGCTTAAAAATAATAACCTAACATCATTCTGTTATTTGCATTATTTCTTCATGCCTCTAGATCTCCAGGAGAAAAGTCAGAAAGTAACCTGTTACTAAAAGAGAGTATCTGGGGGTTTTCCCCCAGAATAAAGATATAAATGTGAGTTCTTTTATGTAAATCTTAAAGAAAAACAAAGTAAGTTAGAAAAACAATGAAATTTTCATTTCTAGGAAATTAAGAATTCATCTTTTTGTTGACTGGATATTCCAATACTTATTACTAATTAAGAGCATGTATTTTATTTCCATTTTGAATTAGTCTGCCTACAACCACTGAAGCCCTTTGGTGTAAGAATATAAGAGGGAAATACTGGGAATTTGTCCAGTCTTTTTTCTGTGAAATTAGAAGTTGGTGTTCTTGGTTACCTTGCTCAATAATAAACTTTGATTGCTATTCAACCCTTTCTATTAGTTTGACAGATCTGCCCCATTCTCAAAAATCCTTTTTAAAAAGAAGTAGCCCCCTCCAAATTATGTGCAGAGTTCAATGCTTGTCACACTAATGTTACATAAAGTTAAAAGTAACCTCCTATTCTTCCATCAATGAGGAAACTTACCTGTGGCCAAAAAATGGTATAACATACTCCCACTAAATTACTTTAACACTAAAACATCTAATTCCGTTCTAGGTTTACAACTCTGCATACAGTATCCTTATTTTCAGATATGAGTCACATTTGCTTATCCATAGTTATTTATACTTGCTCACAAGTAAAACACTTTCATCTGAATGGATTCAATTTACCAAAGCCATCTGCAATGCTTTAAGCAACTGCCCTATCATAAAATTGTAAATCCATTTTAAACCAATGTGACTTTCAGTCCCATTTTACTCATGCCAAAAATGAAGAAAGTCTTGACTTGGAAATTCACTGCCTGTATACTGTTTGGATTCCAGTTTCTTTTTCTAGAAAAGTTAATTTTCACTAGCCACCTAAAATGTAGTTGCTGTACACTAGTGGTCTCCAAAATAGAGTGCACACACCCAAAAAGTAAGCAAGACTATCCACTAGCATGGAGGAAAAAATATGTATGAGAACTTACACTTATTTTTTATACTAAAAAAAAGAAACTAAGGTTTGCTATTATCAAATGTGCAGCTTGACACCAGAGCCCTCACTCAAGCAGATGGTTGAGTCACATAACAGTATACACAGGAGAGATCCTGGCAGAACAGTGGGAGTGTGAAGATCATGACAACAGTGTACTCATTTGTTTGCTCACTTTCGGCTTACTGCAGTTTACGTGCACTCAGTTAAGTGGATTTACAGCCTATATTGTCTAGTTTTCATTAAACTACCCCTCACAAAACGGACAAGAGGATTAAAACAACGTATACAAAGAAACCA